ATAATTTCTTTTAATTTGAATTGTGGCATTTGGACAAAGACGTAAATGTTTTTCACATCTAGATATTGAACTAGAACATTAATATTAAAATGTTGCCAAATTGCAGGCAAGTTTAAAATATATATTATCGTGAATTAATTTTTATGTGTAACATCACATCTATTATTTGGCAATAACCTAAACAGGAATTGATTTACACTTACTACTATATTTTTCTAGAACTATACGCACTATATGTATAGTATTATACATATAGTACTGATCCGCCCATCTCTATGCTTGATATATCTTCGTAAACACATCTAAAAGCAATACAGCACACTTTCGGGAAAGCATGTGCAATTGCTTCAGTGTATATGGATGTTTCATAGAATCTATGAAATGTTGTCAAAAGTATTATCCTTTTAATACTAAAAAATAAAACATGCCTCCTTTTTCAGTTGTTGTGCAGTGAAAAACTTAGCCATATGTCATCAAATAATGCTGTGAATGATTTCTACAGAATTATCACTTAAAGAGGCGAGATGATTAGTAACCATATCAATCATTGGATTATTTGTCTCCATACAATAAAAGACACCAGAAAAAAAATTAAAGGTGCACACTTATAATTTCTTCGATCAAACTGAAGAAAAAGATTACTCCAGCAATGCATACAGGATTCCTCATAAGCCAGCCAGTTAAGTAAAAAATTATTTCTGAGAAAAATGAAGTGTGTTCACCTTGAACAGAATTGGTATCTTCATTATTTTCATGACTCTTCCCACTACCTCTACCAACTGCTATAACTTCATGACTTTTGTAACTTCCATGAATTCCATGACCTCCATAACTTCCATGACTCTCATGATTTCTGCAATTTCCACGATTTCCTTGATTTTGTTTCTTATACAGTAAATAATATATTAAGGAGAATTTTAGTTTGAAATGAATAAAAAAAAGGTTTTAAAAAATTTAAAGTATATTAAACTTTAAACTTACTACTATAATTTATGTTGTAAAACTAATTTCATTTAACAACATGATATTAATCAATATTTAAAATTGTACAACTCAATTTAAAAGTAGTACAATAGAATGTAGCTGATGAACACAAATCAACACAATGTAAATTTAATTTTTAAGATTCTGATGCTTTGACTCAATTATTTATATGACTCAACTAATTGCATCAAAAAGTCATCTAATTGAGTCAAGTGATCAACCCATTTCTACCACATGTATATAATGAACCAAGCAAAATGTTAATCCTTTTTTTACAAAAAATAACTTATCTTCAAGTGAAGAAGAGAGAAACTTTAATGGATAAAAAAGTTGAAGCAGCTGAGGTAGAGTTTTCTATTATGCAAAAGCTAAATTTTGAGTCCTTGTTAAAAACGCCCTTTGCAAGTTTTAATGGTCAAAGCCCACATCACGTAAAATCTGATTGGTTCCCACAACAACATAATCACGTTATCCAATTTAACACTCAATACTGACTGATGTATGATAAAAATTTTTTTATGCAGTCTAAGTAACACCTCTTATTTCTCTGATCAATATCATCCAATCGAATATTCTCTCTTTTGGGACTGTTCATGGAAAAATGCTAATCTTTTTTTGCAAAAAAGAACTTATCTTCAAGCAAAGAAGAGGAAAAGAAATTAATTGATGGAATGGAATTTTAATGGATAAAAAAGTTGAAGCAGCTGAAGTAGAGTTTCTATTACACCAATAAATTTCGACCCTTGTTAAAAACGCCCTTTGAAAGTTTTAATGGTCAAAGCCCGCACTACGTAAAATCTGATTGGTTCCCACAACAACATAATCACGTTATCCAATTTAACACTAAATAATGACTGATATATGATAAAAAATTTTTTTTATGGAGTCTAAGTATTTCTTTGATAAATATTATCCAATCGAATTTTTATCTCTTTTGGAACTGTCCATGGAAAAATGCTAATCTTCTTTTGCAAAAAAGAACTTCAAGCAAAAGAAGAGGAAAAAAAATTAATTGATGAAATGGAATTTTAATGGATAAAAAAGTTGAAGCAGCTGAAGTAGAGTTTCTATTACACCAATAAATTTTGATCCTTGTTAAAAATGCCTTTGCAAGTTTTAATAGTCAAAGCCCACACCACGTAAAATCTGATTGGTTCCCACAACAATGTAATCACGTTATCCAATTTAACACTCAATACTGACTGATGTATGATAAATTTTTTTTTAAGCAGTCTAAGTAACTCCTCTAATTTCTCTGACCAATATCATCCAATCGAATGCTCCTCTCATTTGGTACCGCCCATGCAAAAATGGTAATCCTTTTTTACAAAAAAAGGAACTTATCTTCAAGTGAAACTAAATTTTAATGTTCAAAGTTCGTACTACGTAAAATCTTATTGGTTCCTACAACAATGTAATCACGTTATCCAATTTAACACTCAATACTGATCGATGTATATATGATAATTTTTTTAAAAGCAGTCTAAGTAACTCCTCTTATTTCTCTGACCAATATCATCCAATCGAATGTTTCTCTCAATTGGGACCGCCCATGCAAAAATGGTAATCCTTTTTTACAAAAAAGAACTTATCTTCAAGTGAAAGCAAGCAGAAGAATTTTCTATTATGCAAAAACTAAATTTTGACCATTGTTAAAAAACGCCCTTGCAAGTTTTAATAGTTCACACCATGTAAAATCTGATTGGTTCCCACAATAACGTAATCACGTTAACCAATTTAACACT